GAGCAGGGAGCCCGATGCAGGACTCGATCCCAGGACTCCAGGATCATGACCCGAGCCTAAGGCAGTGGCTTAACCAGCTGAGCCACCCAAGTGCCCTAGGTAAGTCATTTTAAAGATACTTAATATGGGGGTGCCTGGCTGGCGCAGTCAGGAGAGCATGCAACTCTTGATCTTGGGGTTGTAAGATGTAGCCCCATGTTGGGTGTAGAGATTACTTAGAGAAATAAAATTAAAGAAAAATAAAGACACTTAATAGCAACTGATACTTGATTTGGCCAAGGAATGTTGTAATAGCAGCTTCTTTGTGGCAAGAATAAAGTCACCTCTAATACTAGACCCTAAAGTGAATCATCGATAGCACTTCTATCTATAATTACCACTAAGGACAGAGCAAGGGCTAGGCTTTGCTTAGGGTCGCGAAACTCACCTGTAACTCGACAACTGGTACTATTGTAGAGCTGGTGACCTTGAACACACGCACAGGAGTAAGAGCCTGGGACATTACGGCATAGCTGGCCACAGGGACCGTAGGCCTTGGAGCACTCATCTATATCTGATAGAGAGTCAGAAGTCAGAGATGACCATGGAGCCATCTTCTGAGTGTTTTGGGGCCATTGGGCCCCCTTTCCGATGCTCACTGGACATGTATTACGTGGAAATCCCTGTGCTGGGTGCTGGGACGGACAGTCCCTGCCTCTGGAGTTGCCATACAAGTAAGTGTAATTTTCAGCAGGAACATCAGTGTGGAGACCCCAGATGTGTGGCTGGTGCTGAATCCAGATGGAGGTTACCCTAGCAACACTGTTGGCGGTGTTGCTGATTCAGAATGAATGGTAAGATGCCTAGGCACTGCTGGGGGGAATGTCAAGGGGGGCAGCCCCTGTGGAAAAGAGTTTGAAGGTTTCTCAAGTTAGGCGTAGAAGTTACCGCATGATACGACAATTCCCCTTCTGGTGCGTACCCCGGAGTATCGAAAGCTGGGATTCAGACATATGTACACCAGCTGTCCATAGCATTGTCCACGATAGCCAGAAGGTGGAAACCACCCAAATGCCCCTCAACAGATGGGTCAACAAAACGGGGCATATACGTAGAATGAGGTATTTGGCCTTAAAAAGGAAAGGAGAGTCTGACACCTGCTACAACACGGATGAACCTTAATGACAGGCTAAGTGAAATAAGCCAGACACAGAAGGACAGATACCACATGACTGCACTTACATGTAGGACTAGAACAGGCAAATTCAGAGAGACAGAAAGTGGGTAGAGTTTCCCAGGGACTGGGGACAGAGGACTGTTGGGGAGGATGCGAAAGTTCTGGCGATGGATCGGGGTGATGTGTACACCCGTTGTGAATGTGGTGGAGGCCCCTGAATTACACCCTTAAAGTGATTAAGACGGTAAACTGTATGGCATGTATGTCCTGCTGCCATAAAAACTTCGGAAGATGCACCAGATGAACTCTGACCTGCACAGCTCTGCCCGTCCAGCTGTAACTGCCACCCAGCTCCACACGAACACTGGACTCCCCAGGTGGTATCACTGCAATGCTTCTCACAGCCCCCATTGGCCAGGGAGCAGTTCTTCCCTGGAAGAGATAGGGCAGCGGTCAGGAGAGCTGAACACCGTACGGATCAAACGTGGTGTCACAGCTCCCTACACGCTGTGAGGACTATAGAGGACCTCTGAAGAATAACCTTTGACCCTGCCCTCTGACCTGGGAATGTGGAGGCTCTGGGGAAAGACCGTAGAACAGGGAAAGTGAGGAATCACGGAGCAGGGGAAAGGACTTTTCCAGGCAGACAGTCTGGATAATTTCAAATGCTGGTGTATTGCTCACCCACGGAAGGGCCAGCAACCTCTTCCCTAGGTTCTCTAGAAAACAGAAGTGGCCAGGACCCTCGCCTCAGGAAGCAATATAGTAATTTCTTAGTCTCAGCGAATTACCTCTCTAGCACCAGAAACCTGTGGTTTGTCCCACTGTTCATGCTTTCAGTGTCTTATGTGTTCCTTTAGTAGAAAGCGGCTTTCACAGCCCTTAGCAGCCCTATAAAGGTCTCATCATACACATTTAAGCCCAGATTTAAGGAGGAAGTGAGACAGATGACAAAGTGACCTGGGGACAGGTGCTCCCTCCCCCCTGCCCCAACTTGAACCAACAGTGATTTTTATAGTGAGAATCACAAGGTTTTAAAGTTTGAGATGCTTGTTCAGGAGCCTCCCTCCTCACCAGGAAACAGTCTTCCTCAGTCCTTCCTCAGTTAAATCCTTGGAGAATTCACCATCTGGTCTTGAACACATGATTCGCTTCTCAGTGGCAAAGTCTATGTTTTTTTATTCCAGAATTTTCGGAGCAATGTGGTTTGAGGCGTTTAGTCTATTTAGCCATAACGTGAGGAGAACTCGCAAAGTTTTACAGCTCAGGTAAGCTTTGCACACACTCAGGAGACCAGAGCCGAGGCCCGGAACTTGTAAGATGTGGGGGACCCATCACGGAAGGATGACTGCTGACGTAGGGGTTTGGTCCAAGCATTCTCTGAGAGCATGGACCCCCGTGATAACTAAGGCATTGGCTGATGTAATCGGAGTCTCCCCACCCCCACGTGACACCTGGCAATTGGGTCCTCACCACATGTAGTGGGTTCATCAGCACCATCTGCGCAGTCTGCCTTCCCATCACACATCAGGGATTCCAGGATGCATTTCCCTTCATCACATCTAACCGTGCCTTCTGGACAGGAGGCTGTGTAGGAAGGAGAGTCTTCTTTTCCAACAGCACGTGGGGGAAGGGGGAGCCAAACAGACAATCATTAATTATAGTAAGGTGGCAGGATTTTCAGAACCCAAGGCAAGTCTAGGTAGGAAAGAAAGTCTTATCATTTTAAGCAGAGTTGTCAGGGAACTGGGACTTAAGACTTGATAACGACGAAGTGACGCAAGCCACTTGGGCACTGGGTTGAAATAATACTGAATTCGAACTGAATTAGTATTAAGTAGTTGTAATTGAAATGGTGTTAAAATCTGTCAACGTGAGCCCTAAAGGAAGACCCTCTTACAAAACCAGTTTATACGTGATAAAAATGTTAGAATCTGAATATATTCAATATTGCAGATTTAATTCTAGAAAGATCAAGTGGGATTGTGGTTTACCGTGAAGTTGGAGGTTCCATTGCATTGTGTATGTGGGGTAAAGAAAAGGAACGTGGTACTCATCAAGTTCTTCGCAGGGGTTGGGGGGCGGGGGAGGGAGTCCTCTTTTAATGAGAAGTTTCCCCCTGTCATTGACTGCATAAGGACGTGAGGCATCCCTTAGGAGGCTTCCTTCAGATATGGATGCTCCGGGGTTCTGAGCCATGGCCATATTGCCTAGAGTGTCCAGCACAGAGTTACTATTCGAGCACGGCTCGATGTTTCCGTGGACAACTAACTACGTCTTGGTCATTGCTAGGAAACATCCTATTTTTAGATATAGGATGGAAGCCTCGGTTATAGGAATGAAAATGCAACTTTTAGAAAGCAGCCCACACTGTGCAACCGTCCTCTTTAAAGGACAGGCCGGGAGGGGTGAGGGGAGGGGCACTCACCACAGGCGTCCTCGTCCGAGGAGTCCCCGCAGTCATTGACCCCGTCGCACCTCCAGCTATCCGCAACACACACCTGGTTCCTGCACTGCCACTGGCCCGCCAGACAGCGGTTCGGGGAGCAGCGTGCTTCATCGAGCCCATCTCCACAGTCCCCATGGACGTCACAGAGTTCCCAAGCCTCGCGACACTGAGAATGTCCCGGACACTGGACTTTCTGGCCAGGGCATGCGATGGAGACCTCTGTAAAAGGCAGGCGCTGGCTCAGTGCGGTGGAACGGCTGAGCTGCAGGCTTGCGTGTTTGGGTATTCACAGTTTGCTCACGGATTTGTTCTCCGCAAAACCAAGAACCGAACGGGATGCTGGCCACCGGAGATGTGGCCCCAACTCTGTACACTGAAGTTTCACCCCCAAAGCAGCTTAAAAAGCCAAAAGAGGCAAGAATCTTTTAGGTGATTTTGCAAAATGCAGAAGTGGATAAAAGGTCACCTGTCATCCCGGCGACAATCGAACATGTGGATTTAGCCCCCGTCCGGCAGAAGGCTATCTAGTGACTTGCTGGTGTCCCTTAATAGCGTGGAGGTTCATCGATGTGGCTAACACAGAGAGAACATGTCCGAAGGGAAAATAAATTGTACGTACCACAGTTAACCTCATCAGAGCCGTCCGGGCAGTCCCCTGCGCCATCACAGAGCCAGCTAACAGAAATACACTTCCCGTCATCACACTGCCAGGCCTGTGGGTGTCCACGACACACTTCCTCTGCAGGCAGGGGGTAGTGTTCGAGAGGCAGAGAGGAAGAGGTGTCTGTCAGGGTGTTGGCAGCTTTTCAATTCGGGTTTCGTATGAAGTATTTTCATCAGCAAAAGAACAAGTAAGTCCCGATCTGCCACGGAGTCCATCCTAAATTTGCCTGTCCTTTCCGTGTCACCCTGAACAACACACCATACCCCTGCCTTCCAGCTTCAGTACTTATTTAAAATGTTTTATCCCAGTTTCAGTACTTGTCACATGTTTAAGCTAGACTTGAAGGTGAGAAGCCAGACTTGTGCTGGATTTTCTATCCCAACTAGCCCTCCACACTTGTCTTGAGAACAATGCTACCAACATGTACATCCCCAGACTTACCTGCTGAAAGCCTGCAACAACCCAGCACACCTAATATTCCTGAATACCCCCTAGGAGGGAAAACCCTAAGACCTGACCCCGTCAGCCAGGCACACAGCACTAAGGGCCATTCTCATCCATGATGAGAACACGATAGAGCGAGGAGTGCTCACCACACTGCTCATCAGTCCCATCAGGGCACTCTTGCCGTCCATTGCAGAGCCAGGTCACAGGAATGCACCTTTCCCCACACGCAGCTTGCCTCGTCATGTTACACCTTACTTCATCTGCATTGGATGAACAAAAAGCAAATCCATGCGAGTTCCTGGCTTCCTTGGGTACAAGAGAACACCTTTTCATGAGAAGCTGCAGTGAAAAGGTCATTCAGAGGAAGGTCCTTCAACTAATACCCAGAACACTAGGGGGATTCAGTACCATAAAAATCCATAGGACTTCCGCAGTAATGATCCTTGGAAACTGTTCTTTCTGGTGGTGTGGAGTTGGGAAATTGCCATTCGCCTCCATTTTCCCATTCGAATGGGGTCAACTTGCACTGTTCTCAAAGAGACCCAGCTACTGCTCCAGATCTGGTTTGATCTTAAAGACTCTGTATGAATAGTCGCGCATTTAGAAGTCTAAGCTCAAAGTTTGGGCTCTAGTTTACTTTTTTTTTTTTTTTTAAGATTTTATTTATTTTTTTGACAGATAGAGACATAGAGAGAGAGGGAACACAAGCAGGGGGGGTGGGAGAGGGAGAAGCAGGCTTCCCGCTGAGCAGGGAGCCTGATGCGGGGCTCGATCCCAGGACCCTGGGATCACGACCTGAGCTGAAGGCAGACGCTTAACGACTGAGCCACCCAGGCGCCCGGACTCTAGTTTACTTTTAAGCATGTGCAGACACATTTAAAAATTAGATTAGGATTTTGGGTCCTACATACTATCTTCATAAGAATGACTCTAATAAGTTGGGTATAAATATTTAAGGTTTCAGTTATTTGCATGAGACTAATTTACACTATCTGTTTTATTCAAGTCATGAACTTGTGTTTATCAACCTTGAATGATTAATACTCAAAAATAAGCCTGTTATGGAATGTGGTCCTCAGAAGAAAACACCAGGAAGGGCTGACTATACTGAATTCACTACACTGTCCTAACTTTCAAAGAGAAAAAGCCAATCTTTAGTTCCTAGAAAAGATAAACCACATGGCCTGTACTAGAAGTCTCTGCAAGATGCAGTGAAGAACCCCCCCTCCATGGTCCTACTCCCAGGAACAATTTGTACATGGAATGGAAAGTGGTACGCAAGGTTGTGTAATGGAAATTGACAATGGAAGGCCATTGTGTAGACCACACCTTCTTTGGTAAGCGACCATTTCTTAGTCTTACTTGTATCCCTCTAAGATAGTACTTTTAGCTTAGCTACTCGAGGTTTGATTTTGTTTTAAGGCTGACTTATAAAAAACATTTTAAATAAAATATTCAGAAAGTATTGGTTACTAATGGGTAGCTAACAACTCTGCCATCTACTCAGATGCCATGCAAGCAATCTCACTTAGCTTGACCAAAACCATTGAGAGCAGGTGATATTGGCATTTTAGTGAGATCACTTACTAACAATATGACCTTGGGAGAGTTACTTCCTCTCTCTGGATCTGTTTTCTGTCTATAAAATGAGACTAGTAAATAAGTGATCAGAAGAGAAAGATTCATAGATTAAATGGCCACAAAGCCACTTGGCGTGCAGTATACCCACCATATAAATCTTCATAAAGTGTTAACTCTTTTGCTACCACTTCTGGAAGGTCCTTCCAGAAGGATCCCAATTAGGGCTCCAGTCAGCCCTCAAAGACTCACACTTGCAGGTGAGTCACACCTGGAACAACATTTTGCCCTGGTGATTCTCAGTCTGGAGACCAAGTGTGCATATAGATTCTACACATCTGCAGAGGGGTCTCAAAACATTACTTCTCACTTATGTAGATGCTTCCTGTGAATAAATCAGATATATTTTAACATACTTACTTATATGTTAAGTATAGGGTAGCTTTCTCATAGTCTGTTAATATGCCAAGTAGGGTGATCACATGCTATTCTAGAACAGACATCCTAAAGAGGGCTGCATGCCATAAGGCTTCAGTAACCACTGCTTAGTAAAAAATGCAAGTAGCTGTAAAGGTGCGTCAGTAGTGATGCAAAAAGACCACACAGAGCAAGGGCTTCTCATCACTGCAGAGATGCCCCACCAGGTGAGGCAAAAAATCCTGTGGGTTAGAACCCCTCCTGGAAGACAAACAACTCAGTTAAGTGGCACCTCTTCCAAATTAGTTAACATCCCCTTGACCAAGAGTCTGCATAAGTTAAAATGATTTAAAACCAGCCCTCAATCTATGAGGGCCATTGAGGAGCACCTGTCGGGAGAGATCCGCAGGCCAGATGGTTTGACAAATGCTAGGCACCTCCTAGACATGGCTAAGCCACCAACCGGCCACCCACCACTTGGGAACTGTGGGTGTCTCAGTCACCCTGGGGCATGGACTCAGCTCTCCTCTGCCCTGGGGTCTGCCTAAACCTGAGTGGTATATCAACAAGTACCACAGAACTGCACCTCAGACCCAAGCCCCATTTCCCCGTGCTGTTTCTGGAGTGAGGTTATGTCTTCCCGAGGCCGGGGCCTCCACCCAGGCTAAATCTGCTGCCTGGTGAACCCTGAGCTGCGGGTCCCCTCGGAGACTAGGGCTAGAAAGCGGATCCCACTAGGCCAGGACGTTGGGGGAAGGAAGAGGGTGCGCCCTGCACTCAGGTGTGCAGAGCTCTCTCCCACACGCTTGGGGAAGGATGAAGGAAAGACACCGAGGGTGTCCGCGGAGCCCACCTTCCCTTCCACCCACTGGGCAGAATGGGAAGGAGTCAAGGGCAGAGAAGCAGGGGACCACGCGACTCATCTGGCGCCCCCCCCCCCGAAGGCCCGACGTCACCCTCCTCTGTGGAAAGTCACTGCAGAACGGGGGGTGGGGGGCGTCGCGCACGCCAGCCAGGGTGCCCCAAGCTCTCCTCCCGCCCCTTGCAGCGCCCCCCAGCCCGCCACCCCTGTACCCTGCGAAGCGGGCTGCAGTCCCTTCCAGGGCGCCCCGCCCGCGGCCCCACTCACCGGTCCCGGAGCCCGCGATGCCGCCGAGCGCGGCCAGCACCCGCGGCAGGAGCAGAAGGAGCGCCCGGCGCCCCATGGCGGGGAGCGGACTGGGCGCC